GGTCTTTAGGATGGGGGTGGCTGTCACCATTAGGAGTTGTAATACAACTCTTGGACTCTCGTGTCTTTTAACAAGCATTAATGGATGGTTTCCTGGCTCAGGCAAGGGATACAGGAGGATGACGCAGCAGTCAACAACGCCCTCTCAGACTGCCTTACAAGCAGCAACTGTTTTGCTGGAAAACCTAGCAAGCCCAAATCCTTTATCTACAGCACGCAACTCTGCAAGAAGGGCTTGTGCATGGCTGCTTTCCTGCTGGGAGCCAAGATCCTCCCTCCTGCTCATTATCTTGTTTCCTCTTGGTGGGGGCAGCTTCTCCCAGCGTGGTGTTCCAGCACATCAGATGGCAAGGCCAGAGCTTTCCTCAGGAGGTGATCTAAGCCACAAAATTCTCATTGTTTTGCCAGTATACACAGCTTGTTCTGTAAGCTGGTCCCAGTCTGCCCACCGCCAGCACCCGGTGCACAGGAAACTTGTTCTAGCTTCTCCTGGTGGTTGTTGCTCACCAAGGAGCAAGACTCCTTCCCTGTGTTTCTGCAGGAGAACAGCTGCCAGGAGGACTCTGCAGGGAATTTGTAATCTGCCCCAGGTCACGGGAAGACACCACAGCTGAAACTGCTGCTGAAGGAGAAAGTTTTTGTCTTGGTTTCATCTCGAACAAAGTTTTTTTTTAAAATTTAGTTCACAGTGTCTGGAATGATGCTACGTTTTAGCTTTGGGAGCAAAACAGTATTGCTAATACACCGATCACAGAATCACAGATTCACTGATGTTTTGGTGTCGCTGAGCAGCGCTGCACACAGCCACAGACATTTCAGCTCCTTGTGCTGCGCTGCAGTGAGGGACTGAAGGGCAACAAGGAGCTGTGTGGAACGGAACCAGTGCTGCTGACTCAAACTGGGCACAGGAATGTCACAGGAATGCAGCATGGCATCATGTGAGAAAAGTACAAAACTGTGGGGAGTTGGCTGGGGGGGGCACTGCTTGTGGACAGGCTGGGCGCTGGTTGGCAGATGGGGAGCAGCTGTGTCGTGCAGTGCTTGTTCTGTGAAATACATATCATCATTGCTGTTATTTTCCTTTTCTATTTTCTGTCTCAGTAAATATGTTTTATCTCAACCCATGAGTTCTACTTTGAGTTTCTCCCCTCCCCTGGCTTCTCTCCCCCCCAGCCTGGTGGAAGGGGGCAGGGAGTGAATGACCACATGTGTGGGTGCTGCACTGCTGCCAGGTGAATCCATGGCCGGCTTTGACCAGAACAGAGAAAATACGTGTACAGTTGGGAATACCAAGCACAGTCTGTTAAAGAGAGGCAAGGAGCTCCCCTGGGCTTATTCTGCATCATTCCCATAGTGTGGCTCAGGCCCTGCTACCAGCCTAGGTCTTGTTCCCAGCCTAGGTCTTGTTCCCAGCCTAGGTCTTGTTCCCGGCCTAGGCCTATCTCTCAGCCTAGGCCTCTTTCCTAGCCTAGGCCTCATTCCCAGCCTAAATCCCTCTCCTGGTCTTGGCCTCGCTCCTGGCCTAGGCCTCGCTCCTGGCCTAGGCCTCGCTCCTGGCCTAGGCTCTACTCTCGGCCTAGGCCCCACTGCTGGCCTAGGCCCCTCTCCTATCTGAGACGCCACACCAGGCCCTGCTCCCAGCCTAGGCCCTGCTTCTGGTGCAGGCCCAACTCCTAGCCCAGGCCCTGCACGAGGCCCCACTCCTGATCTCCTGGGAAGGAGAGGGTGAGGAGCTGCCCTGGGCTCCTACTGAGCTGTTCCCCTGCCATGGCCCAGGCCTCGCCCCCAGCCCAGGCCCCACACCAGGCCCTGCTTCTGGTCCAGTCCCCACCCTCGGCCCAGGCTCTGCACCAGGCACTGTGGGCTGCTCTCTGCTCCTGTCACCTTTGTCAGCTTTACCTTTCCTGTTTCTGTTTTTTCCTGGTAGGGTGGACGGGCCGGCGCGTGATGCAGAGGATCTGGGTGTGCTGCCAATTTTGGTGTGACATCCTCCATTGCTCTCACACCCCATTGTGGCCACGCGTGGCCCCACTGAAGAACCCCGTGTTGGAAACCTGCAGCATTCCCTCACCTTTGTGTACCGTTTTCCCGCTCGGTTGCAGGGCTGAAGGGACGCCGCCCTGCTTTGGGCAGTCTGGCTTATGGCAGCAAGCAGCCATGCTGAAAACACTCGGGAGATAAGAGAGCCCCACCCCAGGATGAGCTGCATCACGGCCCCCCCTGCGTTCCATCAGCTGCCTGCTCCCTCTGCATCCCCGAGGTTTTACGGCTTTGTCACCGTTGTCATTTTGCATGCAGTTGTCGGGGTTGTGCTCTGCTCCGATCTCAAAATGGCAACTCCCATTTTCTAAAGGAGCTCTTTCACTTTCTATAGATTCCTCTGCTCTGTTGTTTTCGGTCGCTCCGTCTTTCTCCGGGGGCCTCTTTGGGGCCGTTTTTCCATTTTTGCCATACGTTTGCTCAGAGCTTCTGATGTGATATTATGAAATATGTTACCTGCTGCCTGCAAGCACATCACCTTTTCAGCTGCTACTTTTAATTTCCTTTCAATTCTCTCTCATTTTTGTGCACTTTGATGAAAAAATTTTGTCTTCTTTGCTGTTAAGGGGCTGTTCTTTATTGTCGCTATTGCGGGGTGGCTCCTGAATAGATCTTGTCTGTCATCCTGTGCACTGCAGAGGATTGAAGCTGGAGCAATGAGCTCTTTCTTCCTTCAGGAAGGGGTCATCCATGCTGTCTAAAAGTTGAGGAACTGCATTGTTTTCTTTCAGGACTTGTTCCAAAGGCTTTGATTGTTATGATCAGCACTTATAATTGTACAGCAAACTAAAGTGAGTGGCTCATGCTGCAGCTGCCTGCAGCCTGTGTCCTCAGCACAGGGTGGACTTTGTGGTGCCCTGTGCACTCACTCTGATCCCTCCTGCTCAGCATCCTGCAGGAGAGCAGCACGGGGCTGCAGAGCTGCCCTCATGTCCAACCTTGGTGTTCCCGTCCTGATGGGGCTGGGTCGGTGCCTGGCTGAATGCCTGCGTTTGGGCAACTGAACCCTTCCTGTTCTGCCAAGGTCAGCCAGGTTCTGCTGTGGAAGCTGCCAGGGCTGTCCCCACTGCGATGGTGAGAACTGATGTGTCCCCATGCAACAGGTTAGAGGAACCCTTGCTGCAGTGTCTGCCTGAGCAAAGTGAGCACAGAGCAGCTGGATCTGCTGTGGATCCATGCAGGCTTCAGAGCTGAGGCTGCACAGAGAGATCCCTGCAGCTTGCCAGCAGAGACTGGTAGGATTAGTGTCATCTGTTGGATTGCTCCTGGAATGGCTGTGCTGCATCATGGAGTGCAAAAAGTGTGTTTAGTTGCAGGAATTCTGGTGGGTTGGTGGTATTTCGAGAAACAGAGCTTTAAGATATACTAAAGTAGTAGGATTATGGCCACAAAGGACTGCAGCGTTTTGACCTAACACCAAAGCAGGCATTTCCTTTTTTCCAGTTTCTGACACTGGTTAACAAAACGTGTTGCAGGATGGAAGCTGTTTTCTCTCCTACGTATGGAATGTTAATACTCTCTGGAATATGTCTGTGCAGTAAAAGTTCAGGATAAGATTCAGTGATCTTTGTTCCAGGATGTTCCTTCAACCACTGCTTGTTCTTGTCCACGTGTGCATGTCTGTAGTTTATTTTTTTTCCATTAGTCATACAGTTTCATAGTGAAAGGCATCATCTGACAGTGAAGAAGAGTCCTGGAGGTGAAGTAGGAAGTTGTAGATGGTGGTTTTTTATTTAGAGTTCCCAAAAGAGTGATGCGTATTCTACTTCTCTTTGGCATCTCTTGGGTTTTGGGCTCCTGATGTCTCACACCAGCAAGCAGCCGCCTGCTCATTAGCACCTGCTGTAGGACAAGCAGTAGTTGATAAGCACACCAACTTGCTCACATGGTCAGCGATGAAATAGATAATGCTGACCTCTGCTTGCAGTACAAATGCATGCTGCCAAGTGAGAGTTATCCTTGCCTGAGAAAAATGAGCTGTAACCTCAGCTCAGCGTTGCCTGTACTGCACAGTGAGTTTTCTGGGCACTGTGCAGCGCAGCACCGGCTCTCTGCTGCCTCCCACCCTGTGCCTCAGCAAGACCATTTGCTTTTCTCTAGGCAAAGCTGTTTAATTCACAAAACCATAGCGATGCTGCTAAGGCCTAAGCAAGCCCCAGGGCTCTGGAGCTGGAGATCATAGAATTGTGGAATCAGTAAGGTTGGAAAAGACCTCTAAGGTCACCAAATCCAACCCCAACCCATCCCCACCGTTCTCACTGACCATGTGCCCAAGTGGTTTAGTGGGCACGGTGGTAATGAGTTATGGTGAGACGAGGCTGACGGAAGGAGTGAGGATGTGCAGTTACCTCTGATGCCCGGGGTGAGTGCCAATCCATGGGCTGGGGTGTGTGGTGTGGAGCTCCAACACTGCAGGTCTGTCAGAGCCCATTGGAAGAGCTTCTGTGTGCACGGAGGGTGATGATTGGGCTGTGTTTCTGCTTGGGAAGCCAAGCAGGTGTCTGTGGTCAAGCATCAACTCTTCAAAACCTCCATGAACAAAACCACAATGATGTAACCGTGTGACTCTGCTGGACCTGCCCCTTGGGCGCTGTGCCTCCGGTCTCCTATTTTGGGAGTGATCATAGAGTCATGAAGATTGGAAAAGACCTCTGAGATCACCAAGTCCAAGAGCAAAGAAGGAAGAAAACCAAAGTAATCATAACAAGAAGTCAAGGGTCAAAATGCAGGCAGTAGGACCTGGGAGGGAAGCTGAGACTGCTGCTGGGGACCTGCTGTTGTGAGCTGACCTCCGGTGTGCCAGCGTGTTCTCTGATTTTAAACACTTGATCCCCTGCCTCTTCCTCCCCTTCTTTTTCCAGCTGACTCTGCAAAGGCGGTGGCGTTCCCCTCTCGTCCTCCTGCTCTCTCCGCATCCCTGCAATACACAGCAGCTCTCATTGCCCTTCTGTCTCTCCACAGAAGTGTCTGCGGTTGAATCCGGACGTTCCCGTGTGGGCCTCCAAGCAGCGCATTCTGTGCACCCTCAACCACAGCCTGAAGGATGTGCTCAACTACGGGCTCTTCCAGCCGGCCTTCAATGGCAGAGCAGGGAAGTTCCTGGACGAGGAGCGCCTGCTGCGGGAGTACCCCCTGAATCCCGACACTCCCGTCCCCTACCTGGAGGTAGCTGTCTTTTTTAATATATACATTCATAAACATATATGTGTGTGTGTACCCACACCTATAGGTACGTACACACGCCTATGTACGTGCACAAGTGCATAGGAGTCATCCCACCCCTTCCTCTACAGTCTCTAAAAGCAGCACAGAAATTAAGCCCCCCTCCTCCCCCGCCCCTATTTCCCCCTGTTTCCCATCAGGACGAGGTGCAGAGATTTCTGTGGGTGTGTGTTTACTCGCAGAGAATCCATCGAGGGAAAGCTCAGCCTCTGAGCTCCAGTTTTAGCTGCTCATGGCTCTGCCTGGTGGAGCTCTGTGACGTTGGCCGTGGCCCTGAGGGTCTGATTCTGCCTCCCGAGCCAGCTGGTCACACATCTCCTTCTTCTTATACTGGCAGGTAACTGCCGTGGGGAACTGGAGTTAGGCAGGGAAAGCTGTAGGTACAGAGGGAAAAGCACAGGAAGGTCCTTGGAAATGAGGCTGAAGGGGTTGAGTTTGATGTTTTTTACTTTAATTTTACATTTACTTTCATAGAATGATAGTATCCTAGAATGGCCTGGGATGCAAAATGCCCACAGTGCTCATCTGGTTCCAAGCCCCTGCTGTGCGCAGGTCGCCAACCAGCAGCCCAGGCTGCCCAGAGCCACATCCAGCCTGGCCTCCAATGCCTGCAGGACTGGGGCATCCACAGCCTCCTTGGGCAACCTGTTCCAGTGCCTCACCGCCCTCTGAGTGCACGTTTTTTCTTTAAATTTAATTCACAATTAGTGTGAATTGTGGAAGGGAGCACTGTGCTTTGACAGCAGTGACCATTCCTATACAGACCCCATTCACGTAATGAGCACGGACGATAAATGCTAGGTTTCATTCTGTATTATATTCCTTTCCAGAACATTAACTGAGACAGCAATGAATGGAATTCCTCTGTACTGACATTCAGTACAGATTTTGGTCTGGGGCTGGGAGGGCTGTGTGTATCACAGCGTGAGCAGGAGCAGTTTGTGGGCTCCACTGACTCCCCACTGGCTGTATGGAGCTTTGATTACCTGCAGGCAGACCTCTGGTTCAGGGATCCTGTGCTATAATTTACCCTCAGAGCCTACTTAGGAAGCATTACACACTTAAGCTGTATGAACTCTTACAAATGCAAGCTGTTATTATAACTAATCCCAACTAATGTGGAAAGAAAATGCTGCACAGTTTCTTAGTAAACTAATGTCAAATATAGACTAAAACATTTGCAATACCATGAGGAATGCTTGCAAATAAACCTACAAGGTAGTCAGTTCCTTAATGTTCCTCCCGTAGGCTTTAGTCCTTTGTTTTGTATGATTCAGCATGCTGTCCACACTTAATATCTCAGTGCACACATCTAAAAGCAGACCTGACGTGGACATTTGTCCTGAGTCATTTCAATTCTTCCTAACCTGATAAGAATGGCAGCTGAGCACATGAAAACCACGTGTTGGAAAACGAAAAGTCCGGAATCCGTTTACAGGGCACCGATCCCACGCTGCTCCCAGTGAGGTTTCCTGAGCCCATAAGAGAAATGAGCCCTTGGGGCTGCGTGTGGAGGTGACCAGATTGATGTGAGTTTGTACAGAGTGACAAAACCTTACGGAGGGACTTCAGGCAGTGCTTCCTGCCAGGTGATGCTCGGGGTGCAGGGCTGACTGCTAATGCTGTGCAGAGGCTCGGAGCAGCTGATGGTGCCACGCAGCTCCGCTCTCCTCTGATGCAGTTTTGCCTTGCCCCTGGGTGGCTCTGCGTGCTGTCACATCAGAGTGACACAGCCTGCCTTCCCCATCTGACTGGCTGTGCAGCTGGGACTGGAGCTGGTTGCACCCCAAGGTGTTTTGGGGGTGAAGAATCATAGAATCATAGAATCACCAAGGTTGGAAAAGACCTAAAAGATCATCCAGTCCAAGCATTCACCTATTCCCAATAGCTCCCACTAAACCATGTCCCTCAACACAACATCCAGCCTGGGTTTGCCAGGAACCCTGGCAGCGCCTGCAAGGGGCCAACAGCTGTATGTTGGTGAGCCGGGCAGCTTTTAGCTGGGAATGATTGAAAAAAGTGTTGTGAGGACACATCTGCCCAGGATTTCTTGTTTGTAACAAGTTCTGGAACCCAAGGGCAGCTGCAGCAGGCTGAAAATGAAGTAATGTATTGCCAGCATTCGAAAGTAACTCCAGCCCAAAGATAACTTGGTCTCAGATCCAGCTGAAATAATGGGATGCTGGCGACAGATGAAGTTCATAACAGCTCACAATCTCAGAATGCAATTGAAAAAGATCGAATCAAATCCAACCTCTTTAAGAGAGCCATAATTCTGCCCCATGGAGATGGCTGCACAAAGGCAGCGGCCACCGGGGAGGACCTGGTTTTGTTCTCCGTTTGGGATCAGTGCTGTAAGGTGTCTGTAGGAGTCTGTATGAGTCTGGGTGGGTTTCTTAGGGACTGATGTCAGACCCTCTGTGGGCACCCCAGGCTTTGAGTGCAATGTGTGTGAGTTGAGCTCAAGGATCCTTGTGGGTCACTTTCGACTTGGGATACTCAACGGTTCTATCAATTGCAAATCACTGCTGGCAGAGGGCACAGCAGTGTGGGTGCAGTCATTGGGTACGGGAGCCATCAAAGCACATTCCTAAATTGGACAGGGATGTGGCTGCTTGCAAAGGAGGGGCTCTCATTTCTGAAAACAAAGTTTTCAAAGAAAATTGTCAGTCAGAAAGGCTGTCATGAATTCCCAGTGTGATCCTATGGGATCCTGGGATCCTTTGGTGTGTACCCTGACAAACAGTGAGGTGGTTCCAGGAGTAGTTCGGGAGAGGAGATGGGCATCAGAGCAGTGTTTGGTCACAGTCAGTGCCTGAAAGCACACTGAGAAGAGCTGAAACCACACAGATTGATACGAGGACCTGATCAGAGCCTCTTCACTGAGCAAAGCAATGAACGAGGAGAAAAAAAGGTGGAGGAGAGAAGCAGATCCTGTTCTGCTGTGCTCAGGTTTAGGCTGAGGGTCTCACTGCACGACTTCTGCTCCAGAACAAACTGATGCTGAGTGGGCTTTGTGCATCTCACATCTGGCGTTCTCCCTCTTGCAGTTCCGGTACAAGCGGCGTGTGTACACCCAGGCTTTACTGGATGACAAGCAGTTTGCCAAGCTCCATACCAAGGTAAGGCTGGAGTTGAGCCTGTGAGCTCAGAGCCCTGAGTGCATGCACAGCGCCAATGGTCCGTGCTGATGGGCAGCGGTCTCTGAGGGCACCAGGACCTGAGGGGGTTCAGCCTTTCTCGCTCGCCGGAGCTCAGATCCCTGCTGTGAGCTGCTGGTGTGGCCAAAGCCGGGGTGGTTTTGGTGCGTTGTGAGTGGAAGAACTGCATCGAGTGGTGCAATTGTGTGTGCTGTGGTGGGCGCTGCTCCGTTGGAGGTCTGGGTGCCAACTGTGTGCGGGGCAGGCAGTGCAGGGGAGCACACAGAGGGTTGGCTGAAGAGCAGCTTTGTTCTGTTCTGTGCCCTGGGTGGGTGATGGAACAATGTGCACACTGAGCAGCCTGCTGTCCTCCCGCTCAGGGGCTGCTGCACACCTCCATCATTGGTCTGCTGCTCCAGGCACCGTGGGCAGCAATGGAGGAATGCATGAAGATTAATGGCTGGGGATGCCCTGGTGGCACAGCTGGCACTGCGGGGCCAAGGAGGTGGGGGTGATGGGTGCTGTGGGGCTGAGGTGCTGGGGGTGATGGATGCTGGGGTGACAGGCACTGTGGGGAAGTGAGGATAACAGGCACTGTGGAGCTGGGGCAGTGGGGCTGACAGGTGCTGGGCACGCAGTGGTTGGGTGGATGCTCTCCTGCATTGCTTCTTCCCAGCCAACTGCAGCAGCTCTGTGATATCGTTTCTCATCTAAGAAACCAAAGAGCAATGAGTGTGGAGAGCTCTGGACCAGCAGAGGATTTCTGTTGCCACTGATAATTGTTCCCTGAGGCACAGGGCTCGTGGGGATGGTGTTGGTTCCTGGGAGGCTGGGGCCAGCAGTGGGCAGGAGGAATGGGGTGGGCAGCATTGGGGTGGCTGGGGGTGGGAGGACACCCTCAGCGCCCACCAAATGCAGCCCATTTCTGGGGGATCCCATGGGGAAATGGGGCTCATGGCAGGGAGCAGAGCTTTGGAGGGCTCCAGGGGTATCTGTGCAGTGGAGGAAAGCTCCAGGAGGCTCTGGGATTCTTGTTAAGAAGGCTGTAGGACGCAGAACTGCTCTTGCTGTAGGGCTGCTGGCTTGCTCCTGCTGGTGTGTGTTCTGTGAGGGAGGCAGGAGGGAGCTGTAAGCTCTCCATGGACATGCACAGCAGCAAGAGCAGAGCTGGGTGAAGCCACAGGCAGAACACGAGGGGAGGAAAAAAAAAACACAAAAACTTTGGTCCCAAAGGGCTTGACCTACTGCAAAGGTTAAAATCTTCATGGGAAGAAACACGTCCTCTGCCTTCCTTTAGCCGAGTAGCAGAAAGGAGGGATAAAATGCTGCCAGGGCTCAGATCTGACTCACGAAGATGAAAGTCGTGAGGTTTCTGTCTTGTGGCATAAGAATATCCAGGCAGCAGATCTGGAAAAAGCTCAGCATCTCCCTGGCGCCAGGAAACGTGAATCACTGCTGAGCCCTGCCAGTGGGAGCCACGCTTCCTACAGGGAGGGCTGAGCAGGGGAGACCCGGGAGGCACCGTCTGAGGGCATCCCCAGGAGTGTGCAGGAGCCAGGAATGTGCTTTATTAAATATTCACTTCATCTCTGTGCTTTCATGTCCGCTTAAAATAACAAATCTCCTTCAAGTCGTTTCTGTACTTTTAAGCTGTCCCTTGCTACTGAAGGACGGCATCCAAGGGAGACGTGCAGCCCTGCTCCCATTCGCCTCCATCGGGAGGATGCTGATGTTCTCCTGGAGCTGTGGTGCTCCTGGGGCCAGCAGAGCCCCATTCCTCCCCAGTGCATGGCTGAGCAAGGGTGGGATTGTTTCCATGTTAACTGAAACGAAGCCTTATCTCCTGGGCAGTGAAATGCTGTTCTTTTTGTGCTGCTTTTTTTTTCCACTTTTTTTTTTTTCTTTTTTTTCTCTGAGATTCAGTAATTAAAAGCATTGTGAATTAGCTTTGGGTCTAATGGGATGGTGGGACTGCTCCTCAGGCTATGGTGTGTGCCCAGCCCTACCCCTGCCATGGGCTGTTTGCCCCCCAGCTTAGGCTGCCCAGAGCCCATCCACAACCTGGGGCACCTCCCGAGCTGGGGCACCCACAGCTCTGGGCAGCAGTGCCAGCACCGCACCGCCTTTGGGTGAAGGATTTATATCAGATGTGAGGGGAAATCTCCCCTTTTTTAATTTAAAGCCATTCCCCCGTGTCCCATCACCCTGTGCCCGTGTACAGAGCCGTTCTCCTCCTGTTGAGCAGCTCCTTCAGCTCACAGGGAGGTCTCCCCTGTCTCTTCTCCAGGCTGAAGTCCTGAGGGCAGAGCAGAGGGGGGACAGTCCCCTCCCTGCCCCTCTGTCCCCTTTTGCTGAAGCCCAGGGTGCATTCGGCTGGAGACCTGTGCCTAATGAGCTCACCTAAAGGAGGGTAAAGCAGCAGTGAGATGGGATGGTCTCACATTGGGTTGGAATTGGGAACAACCTGTGCTGCAAAGAGCGGTCAGCACTGCACAGCTGCCCAGGGCAGCGGGGAGCCCCCATCCCTGGGGGTGTTCAGTGAGCACAGGGATGTGGCACTGGGGGGACGTGAGCAGTGGGATGGGTTGGGGTTGGACTGGGGATCTCAGAGCTCTTTCTCAACCTGAATGACTCTGTGATTCCGTGTTCTCCAGGAGGAGATGGGCTCCAGTGTAGTGGTGGAGCTGTCTGAGGGCAACCTGGGAGCTCGCATTACGGTCACAGTACTGTGGTGCTGACTGGTTTGCACTCCTATCTAAAATATTGTCACAGCCCTGAAAATCTGATTGGAAAGACAAAGGAGCTCGTTAACGCCTGCAGGAAGTGCTGGATGGCGAAAGGGCTCACAGGGAAATGCCATGAGCAGATGAGCAGCTGTGCAGTTAACTCCTGGAGCACTGTGCCGTGCCTGCAGCCTGCCATTACCTGAGTACCACTGGGTTTAGGCTGCAGCTCGTGCTGCCTTGGCAGCTCCCAGAGCAGCACAACCGGGTGCTGATCCCAATCCTTACACTGTGTTCACCTCTGCCCCCTGGCCCACAGCATCTCTGTGCTTCCCTTGGTCCTGTTAATGCTGAGAGTGCTTCAGGCAGGTTTGGAGAAGCGCTGAGCTTTCAGAGATGGTGTGTAAAGATTCTTTGTGCGTGCAGTGAAATGGATTATCAGGCATTTCTGTGGGAATGTCTGCTTGCTGCTGCCTGGGCAAGAGCTTGTCAAGTGACCAGGGAGGAAATCAGTGGCTTCCTGCCTTCTGCAGGCACCATAACCATGTGGCATGTGCCATGCTCTGGACACCAGGTGGTTTATCTTAATCCTAGCTGCTCTTAGGAGCAGACCAGGCCCTGAGGAAACGTTCACCTTGCTTTGATACTGAAAAGGCAGGAATCATCAGCATTCAAGTGCTGTGAAGGGGTGTTTGTCTCCCTGTGCTCACAGTGGGTCCCGGCGGCGTCCCTGCACTCGGCTCTCCCTGCACTCAGCCCAGGCTGAGCAGCCAGCAGCAGTTAGAATCATTTCTCTGCCAGAAGAATATCTCGTTTATTTTCTTTCATTTTGATTCAAGAGAGAAAAGCTGGTGAGAAACCTTGTTCCCTCACACCAGCTTCTTCTCCATAAGCTTTTTCTGGAGGGTGTTGATTTTTCTTATGGTTTTGTACCAACAGGGGATAACGGGCTGCACACAATGTCTCAGTGGGACGACCAGGGCTGTGCTTCCTCTCCAGGAGCAATCCTGGCCTTAACCCCAGGCTCTGGGGAACGTGCCTCAGACCAGCTCAGCGGGGTGAACAGGGGGTGTTTTGGGTACGGGTGCAGAAAGGGAGCAGTGGCTGTGGGTTGGACAGCCAGCTCTACTGGTTCCGAAGCAGTGGGAGAAGGGCAGAGCCAGGATTCGGTTCTTGTCTCTTCTAACAGGGCTCCTCCTTCGGTGGGAGCAGGGTGGGTTGGCGGTCAGCCTGCAGGAGATGCAGGTGATGAGCACGGATCCGCTGCAGAGGCTGGGATGAGGCTGCAATGGTTGTGGGTTGGGATGGAAGGGTCCCAGAGGGTCCAACCTGCCCCAACCCCTTCTGCCCGACCTTCACACAGCACTTCCACGCCAAGGGGTTGGGAAATAGGGATGTGAAAACCCTTTCAATCGGCCATGGGTGGCTGTACGCTAGGCTGATTTTGTTGGATGACTTATTGCTGAGTCTTGCTTTTTTCTGTGCAGAGAAAGTTTCCATCGTGCCAGTCAGGACAGCCATCCCTACACAGTGATTTGAGAATCACCCCGATCTCCATGAATTCATATTGCTTCTGCTCTTGGGAAGATGCACTGGGAGCTGATAGCTTTATAGACGTGCATTTAGGTTTCGCTTTTTGCATGTAGGAAATGGGACGTGCTGCCTTTATTGGCTCCTGGTGTTTCTTTTATTATTTTGATGCGTATCAAACTATTTTGGGGCGGAAGCTGGAATTCAATTAAAATTAAAGCAAAATAGCATTTTAAATCGTATCTTTATCACTTCAATAAATGTTCCTTGAGCGCACTGGGTACAGAAAAGGAAAGGTAAATCTATCAGTACGTATCTTATGCGTTTGAAGCTGACTGATCTTTCAAACAAAGGGAGATTGGGTCTGTATTAGTGGTTCCCATTACAAACTCTCAAAGGTATTTAAGTGCCAGAAAATAAGTATCTGGTGAGATTCACAATTGCATGAGTGGTTTAGGCATTGCTGAGCTCCCCTTGATTTCAGTGGGAGTCTGACATTTGCTCTCTCTCTTCGTGTCTAGTCACCTCAATACATTTGAAAACCTGGCCCCAAATCCTCCACTTCTTAGAATAATGAGATCTCATTCCTTTCCCACCAGGGTTTTATTCATAGACTGGGGGGAGAAAAACAAGCTTCCACGCTCTCTCAGCTCTCAAATCTTTCGGCTTTGAGTGAATCAGTCCAAATGAAAAGGAAAATGTTCTGTGTTTCTAGCTAAATTGAAATGAAAAACAATCTGATAGGAAAGCTCTTTTATGCAGCATAACTTGAAAAACCAACACGGGAGAATGTAAATACCAGCATTTGGTTCTGAGAAAAGTGGTTATAATGGGCCCAGCATGGGACGCGACCGTGACATATTTATAGATTTGAGCTGATTTCCAGAGCCAAGGATGGTTTGTTCTGGTTCTGAGCGGTGCAGGAGGAGCGAGCTCGAATTCGTGGCTTTTGGCAGAAGAATCGTTCAATCAATATGGTTTTCTAAATGCTCCTGAAGTTGTTGTACCCCAAACCCAGGTTTTAACAGTTGTGTTTTTTAATTGCGGGAAAGAACCTCTGTGGGACTGAAACCTTACTGACACAAAGACAGTAAAGCCAGGATGGAGACGTAAAACTGTGAGAGAATGTCCAAATGAGGGCTGCAGAGAAGGGGGAGGGTCTGAGGGGAAAGGGATGTGAGGAGCAGCTGAGGGTCCTTGGTTTCTTTGGTCCAGAGCAGAGGAGGCTGAGGAATGGCCTCATGGTGGCCTACAGCTCCTCGTGGTGACCCTACAGCCCCTCATGTTGACCCTGCAGCCCCTCATGGTGACCCTACAGCCCCTCATGGTGACCCTACAGCCCCTCATGGTGACTCTACAGCCCCTCATGATGGCCCTACAGCCCCTCGTGGTGACCCTGCAGCCCCTCATGGTGATTCTACAGCCCCTCGTGGTGACCCTACAGCCCCTCATGATGGCCCTACAGCCCCTCGTGGTGACCCCGCAGCCCCTCATGATGGCCCTACAGCTCCTCATGGCAGCCCTACATCTCCCTCATGACAGCCCTGCACCCCCTCACATTGGCCCTACAGGTCCTTATGGTGCTCCTACAGCTTCTCATGTCTCTACATGCCCTCATGGGAGCCCTACAGTCCCCTTAAGGCAGCTCTACAGCTCCTCATGGCCCTACAGCCCCTCATGGCGACCCTACAGCCCCTCATGATGGCCCTACAGCTCCTCACGGCAACCTCACAGCTCTCTCATGGCAGTCCTACAGCCCCTTGTGTTGGTCCTACAACTCCTTATGGCGGTCCTACAGCTCCTCATGCCTCTACAGCACCCCTCAAGGCTGGCCTACAGTGGCCCTAGAGCTCCCTCATAGTGACTCTACAGCTCCTCATGACCCTACAGCCCCTCCTGGCAGCCCTACATCTCTCTCATGGTGTCCCTACATCTCTTTATGGCCCTAAGCTCCTCATGGTGGCTCTACATCTCCCTCATGGTGTCCCTACAGCTCCTTATGGCCCTAAGCTCCTCATGATGGCTTCACATCTCCCTCATGGTGACCCTACAGCTTTTCACGGCAGCCCTACAGCTCCTTAAGTCCCTACAGTCCCCTCATGTTGGTCCTACTGCTCCTCCTGGCCCTACAGCTCCTCATGGCCCTACAGCTCCCCATGGTGGCCCTGCAGCTCTTCAGTTCTTAACCTCTTTGCTCAGCCCTGTGCTGTGCTCCCGATGTTGGTACTGGTTCCAATGGTGGTTGAACCATTTAGCTGCTCTATGGGGTGCCCCAGGGCTCTGAGCTGGGGGTCCCATGGGGCATTCCAGTGCTGGAGGCACCGGGCAGCTTGTGGGAGAGGCTGTGCAGAATGAGAGGATCTTGATGCGAAGGTTTGAGGTGTGCACTGACCAAGACGTCTCAGTTAGCAATTTCCCATCCCTTTGCTTAATCCCATTTCTGTTATTTCTCACCTCTGCCCATTGGCAGAGTGCTGGGAGATCTCTGAGATGTAGCAGAGTGCTTTCCATGGATGTGTGTTTAAAAATGGGGGTCTCTATGTCTCCATGCTCAGGGCAGTGCTTAATTCGAGTGGAACAATGGGTTTCCCCAAGTTTATTCTGGAAAACAACTTAATTGATTTAATTACATCTACATCAGCTTAGGCCTTGAGCTGAACATCTGGGGCACACAGCACAGCAGGTGGAAGAGAATGGTTTTCTATTTGTTATTTAACTTCTGAAGTCCATCTGCTTGACAAATTAGTTTTGAAGCTTTGCTGTGGATTTGATCTGAAGGTAGATGAACTCTGGAATGTTTAGAAATTCAGGATAGTAATTGATTTCTCCCAGAGAGAAATTCCATGCATGGCCTTATTAGAGCCCATGTAGTGCATGGGACTGTGATGTTGAATGCCACATCCTGGAGTCGAGGCTGCCTCCCTCTGCATTCTCCTTTTGCTCGTGCACTTTTGCTTCAGTTTCTTGCAAAATGCAGAAGCTGTCATTAAAAGTCGACGCCGTGCTGATGTGGGCTCAGCTCTGCCAGCACGAATCTGGAAGATGGGCGCTGCAGTTACCGTGTGCGTGGCATTGGCTGTTGGGAGGAGCATGGGGGATGTGACCCAAAGGTCTGCAAAGCAGTGCTGGGAGCATGTGTGAAATGTTTTCAGTCCTGTCGGCCTGCCTGGCAGAGCGATAATTCCTAGAGGCTGGAAATCTATTAAACAGTGTATGCATCAAGTGTAGCTACCCAAAAGGGGAAAAAAGAGAAAAGCCTCACAGCCAAGGCCAGCCAGGCAGGCTTCAAGGAGTCCTCTGAGCTCTCAGGAGAACAAGATTTAGTCTCTGGCCAAAGACAGAGAATGGCATCGTGAACAAAACACGATTTTGCAGCCGTAGCTGCGACACCACATGATGAGAGCTGGTGACTGTGAAGCTGGTCTTTCTTCCTGAGCGTTTCAGAGTAGTTGGCAAGGAGGCGATGCACCGTCAAAGTGAGCTGGTGACCTCAGGAGGTGCAGTGCTGCTGCAGGATGTGGGCAAAGCCCCCGATGCTGTGTCAGTGGCAGTGCTGCTCAGCACCTTCCATAGCTGTCTCCATGCTGCCCGGTTGGCAAACACTGCAGTGTGTGTTTGGGGATGTGTCCGTGTCACAGGCGTGTGCAACACGTGTCTGCCCTCATGGGGTGTGAGCAGGGGGCTGTGGTGTGGGCAGGGGGGGGTGGCTGGTGGCCCCAGTGCCTTCCTTGGGGTGGTCCAGCGATGCCAGGCGTGGGCAGGAAGGGCCTCGTCCTGCACAGGCCTGTGGTGTGCCCTCAAACAGGACGTGCACCCTATAGGAAGTAGGGCTTCAGGGACCTGGGAATGAATATGTGCCCTGGCTCCTCATGGGTGCTGCTCTGATGTTGTGCTGGTTGCCTTGGGTCTCTCGGATGGGGATATTCCTCTGGTGGCTTCTTTCCTCATATCGGGGTGTTAATGCTACGTATTGTGTGTTTTCCTGGGGCGTCACGGCTGCAGGCAAACCTGAAGAAGTTCATGGAATACGTGCAAATGCTGAACGCGGAGAAAGTCTGCAGGCTGCTGGAGAAAGGACTGGATCCCAACTTCCACGACCCGGATACTGGAGGTGAGATTGGCCTCTCCAGAAAGGGGGAGATGGCAGAGCAGGGCTGGGGGAGAAAGTGTCCAGGGGAAACAGTGGGAATCTGGGCAGTGAATCATAGAATCATAGAATCATAGAATCACCAAGGTTGGAAAAGACCTCAAAGCTCATCCAGTCCAACCGTTCACCCATTCCCAATAGCTCCCACTAAACCACGTCCCTCAGCACAACATCCAGTCTTTCCTTGAACACCCCCAGGGTCTGTGACTCCACCACCTCCCTGTGGTTGTTCCTGGTGGGCATAGCAAGTGATGGGTTGTGTGAAGGGGAAGGTTTGCTGGATTTCTTAGTAGTGTGTCTTAGATCTCGGAGGTCTTTGGAGCACAGAGTTGTGGAAGGCCGTTGGCAGAAGATACTGTGTGGGGTGAGAAAGATGCATTGTCTGGGCATGAGGCACAAAATGAGACAGCTGTGAGGTTGTGCATCTTTCAGATGGGATTCTGGGGAGGACGGGGCAGTCTCTGGGACTGGCACATTGAGGGAACGTGGAGTGTCTTTGTGAAGCAGTCAGAAGGCTGGAGAAATGTTTTGGAGGCCAAGACAATCAAATCTTGGCTTCTGGGTTTCTCAGTGTTGTCTTTAAATTTTTTCCCCACCTTATGGAGGTCAGGGTTTGGAGCGTTGGCTGTTGGGTTTTACGCAGGCTCCAGGGTGCAAGGAGTGAGAATCAAACTCCCATGTCTTTTCCTTGAGAACAGAGGATGGGAGGATCTGTCTCTGGTCCCGGCTGAGGGCTCTCATGGTCTTGGGAGAGGAGCTGCTGGTTTAGTTATTTCTGTTTTCAAGCAATGTTTTTTTATGATCAGTTACTACGGAGTTGGAACTTCTGCTTGCGAATGATGGGCACATTTCCAGCTCACGAGCAGGTGCCAATCTGATGATTAATTTTCCGTGTCTCTGGCTCAGCTGGACGGCTCCTCAGGTTGGTTCTGAAGCTCTGGCTTCTCTGCATGAGGAGTTCTCATGTGCCCAGACGGCTGTTCTGCCATGCCATCAACGGGCACGGCGTGGTTCGGGCGCACTGTTAACCTCTCCAGTCCTTTCTGACAATGGAGCTGCACCCAGGCTGTTCCTTGGGATGGCTCTTGGCCTCTGCCAACTCCTGGGCTGGAAAGGTGAAAGTTGACTCAGCCAAACTGACAGAACCATTCAAACTCAGCCAGCAATGTTTGTTTTGTTCAATTTACTGGTGTAGCCACTCTGTTTGGTCCTGATGGACAACTGCTCCTATGACAAATAAACCATTAGCAGCATACGAGCGTGATCGCTCTCTGCCTTGGAGCATGCCCAAGCAGATCAGCTCTGCTTTTCACTTCTGCCCAAGCCCTTTCGAGCATTTGGAGGGACATTTCTTTAAAAGAAAGCCCTCTGCTCTTCTGTAGCTGACTCGGTTTTATGAAGTGTGTCGTATTGTAGAGTGCAGTGAGCTCGAGGAGATCATAGAGTGGTTTGTTTGGGAGGAGACCTTAAAGCCCATTCAGTACCAACCCAGTGCCACAGGCAGGGACACCTCCCAGCAGGTCAGGATGCTCAAAACCCCATCAATGGAGCTACAGAAGGTTTGGGTCTGATGTTATCTCATGGAATCGTAGCATCACCAGGGTTGGAAAAGACCTCCAAGATCATCTAGTCCAACCACCCACCTATCACCAATATTCCCCGCGAGCTATGCCTCTCGAAACAACATCTAAGTGTTTGTGGAACACAGAGGGTTGGAGGCTGATAGGAAAACAGGCTCATGTGTACTGCGAAGAATCTGTTAAATACAGAGGAGTATTTATGAGAAAAAAAACCACCAAAGCAAACGAACCAAAAAAAAGCACCTGATACAAACCGTCATCTGATTCCAGTTCAGAACTGACAGCAAAGCTGGATGTTATGAGCTGTGAAAATTACACTGGAACAGAGGGAGTCCTGGACACCTCACTCCGAGCCCCAGTTCTTCTTCAAAAACACACAACCCTTTCTTGCTTCGCGGTCTGTTTTGTGAGCGTGAGAGAATGACGTGGGGCTGCTGTTCAGTACGCGTGGCTTTCTGGAATTTAAGAGCAGGCTGTTCCACCACCCAACCTGACCTCCTGCACCCAGGGGATCCTCGTCACCCTGTGCGTGTGTTCAATGAACAGAGCTGAAACGCATTTTCCATGAAGTCATCAATCCTGATTCAGGGAACAGAAGATCCGCGCTGTTCCTTCGTAATTTGGTTAATCACCCTCGCTGTTTAAAATTCGTGTCTTATTTAAATTTGTATGCTTCAGCTTCCAGCTGTCGTTACACTTTATCTTCTAGATTAAGGAGCACTTTAGTACCTGATATGTTTTCGCATGAATGTATTTATATGTGGTAATCAAATCAACATTTAATCCTTCTTCCCCTAATTAAAGAGAGGCCGAACTCCTTCAGCCTTCCACCTGAAGACGCTTTCTCCTGTTTTCCCATCACTTCTGAGTGAGTTTTGAGTCACTGCTCCATTTCTAAGAGGTCAGCTGGAAGGCAGACACCAGGCACATTGCTGTGCAGTGCTCCCCTGCATATCCCTGCTGTCTGTGTCCCATGGCAGCGACCTCACTGGGGAGGACCCGGATGGCCACACATTGCTGGAGCAGACTCTGTGTCACACCATGGCCTGTGTCACCTGAACCATAGCAAACCACAGGAGTTCCTTGCTTGGTAGCTTCGCTTTGGTGGGGCTGCTTTGCTCCCATTGACTTCCACACAGAGGTGAGGTGGGAGCACGCTGCTCCCTGCAGGGCTGCCAACCCTTCCCCAGGAGCATTTTGCAAAGCCGTGACCAAGGCTGTAGGGCAGAGCATCTCCTTCCTCACATTCACTGGGCTCAGGTGGATCCTGAGGGATTGCCACGGCTTTTGCTTCTGGTTCTGCATTGCCCAGCCCTGATTGCTCTCCGTAATCATCCCAGCTTCGTGTCGCCTACAAATCTGATCAGAGATTTGCATTGACTTCAAGATAAGATTTACTTCAAGATGGCCAAGTCCAGCACGTTGGAGAACCCCTTCAGCCAACCCCTTTCTGCTTCTCCTGGCTGGATTTCCGTTCATCTGAAGGACGTGGAGCTGACATTTGGTGCTGCTTGTTTTCCACATTGGGTAGGGCTGTGCACGAGCCTCACATCAATGCAGCTATCAGCATCATCTCTGTGAATCAGAAGCAAAGGGGTTACATGTGAGCAGCAGGACCTTCTTACTGTAAAATCTGACTGGTCAATGTGACAACACAGGTATTCTTCAATCCTGTGTCACTTAAATTCCGTATAAATTTCCCAATCTTTCCCAAGATTGGCGTTAATTTTCTGACTTCTTGGTTCATGGATCATCTTAGTCGTCCCTTTTTGTGTCTTGACCCAACGCTGCTGTTCTTCTCATCTTTTTGGATGCCCCAGTACTTCAAAATGTGTTTGAGTTTAACTTTACTGGCACAGAAAGATCTTCAGGGAGAAGTTAGGAAGGATGATACACCACATTTTCTAGAAGTAAACAACTTCTTCAAGTGCAGGTAGCTTATCTCAGAAATCCCATTTTGGTGATAGAAAGGAAAACAGCATTTCCTCAGCAGCAAAATTAGCAATAACCATCGGTCATTTCGCTTTCTGCATTTGTTACCAATTATACACTGCCTATCTGACGAGGGCCTGGGAAATCATTTGGCGCTCTCTAATTTAAACAACAGCAACAAGACCCCTCTCTGACAGCCCTTTGCCACGCCAGATGTGGTTTTCTTTACTCCTGTGCCATTAGTTCCTGTTCTTGTCCTTCATTTCCTACTTTTCGGTTCATGCTGACCACTATTTCCTTGTGTCCTGCCGTTAGAGCTGGGGTTGTAACTGCTGCTGTCCCTTCACTGTTGACCTGGAAGGTCCTCTTCAATTTATGGAGCCGTATCCTTTCTCCTTCAAGAACTCTCAGTCACCTTTTACTGTTTGATTGTAAGCTTCCCGTGTTTCCGTGCTCCACGTCCTTCAGATGAACTGAAATCCAGCCAGGAGAAGCAGAAAGGGGTTGGCTGAAGGGGGTCTCCAACGTGCTGGACTTGGCCATCTTGAAGTAAATCTTATCTTGAAGTCAATGCAAATCTCTGATCAGATCTAATTTCCCTTGGTTGATTCCCATAGGAAGCATCAGATATCCCCCGTTTGGTTGGGGCCCCCAGCTCCCTGTGCTGTCCTGTGCTGATCAAACAGCAGTGAAGTGTTTAACAGATTCCTATTCATTACACTGAGACCCAGGGAAGCATTCCTGTATGCTCACAAAATGAGATATCTTACTGCCTGTAAGTTGGGACATTCGGCGTTTGCTTTCAAGCTGAATTTGCCCTGGCAGTGAGAGCATTAATTTATACAACTTGGTGACCAACACTTGGAGGTTAAGGAGCTTTTTCTCTTTACTGGTGCATAACAAAGGCTCACGAAGGACCTTTTGTTACTTCTGACACTGCTCCACACAAACCCCAGGCCCTGTTCTCAACCATTGGTGGCCATACAACAGGTGATTTGAGCAGGGATTTTAACGTAAACTCTTTCTCTGGGCCTCCTTGCCCCCTCAATACGTTCCCATTCTCGTTGCAATCAGACATTCTTCGTTTTCTAAACTGAATTTTCTGCAAGTTTCAGTAATGACAATGATGTCAAACTTCTTATTACCGTTAGAAGCAGTCCACATCCTTTTTCCTGTTATCCAGTCTCCTCGTACTTCGAAATGAACAAAGAGGAAGAAAAATCTTCCTCTCATTCTTTATCAAATGGGCTTAATTACTTCTGACACGGTGCGTTTGTGCAGTGTTTCCCTCTTTGGAATTGTTTCTCTAATGTTCTTGATTTAATGTCTTTCTAATTGTTCTACTTAAGTCTCAGCCAAGATTATTATCTCACCTCTCTGTGGAGTGCAGGTTGTTGACTGTGAAAATCCTTTAGCACGGCCCAGTGTTCCTCAATCCCAACCTCCTCAGTTTTGCTCCCCATGCTGTGGCTGCCGATTCCCTTCTGCCATTCTCTGCACGATGCCATCTCCTGCTTGTGGGTCTGAAAGGAGCTCTGGGATGAACTCGTGAACTTCTCTATCCTCCAGCTCTCCAGCAGTGTCCTCGTGTCCCATTACTGCCAAATCTCTTCAATTTCACAATCTCACCCAACACCGAAGGACAACGCTGGGCTGCCCTCACCTTTTCTGCCGAGATGCGACACAAACACGTGGCTCCGTGCAGAGGCACAGCTCTGGGCTCTGGTTCCTCTTCCAGCTGATGGCAAAGGCACGTGGGCCTCGCTCAGCCACTTCCAATCCTCGCCTTCCACTGGTCACCAAATCACATTTACTGTTCAGGGCTGCTCCTTTCCCTTTGGAGGAGGGAAAACGCAGTGCGTCCAGCTTAGCGTGGCGTTTCTACTCGTACAGTTGGAGGAGATCTATGCCTGAGAAGAGGGAACCATATCCCGATGAAACTCCTGTTTGCCAGGAGTTTCCTCCTAAGGTGTCTTCACAACTGATTTACTGACGAAACTGGAGTTTCCTAAGTTTCTGGATGAAAGATGGAGAGGATGCAGGGATCCCCTGTGGCAGTGTGAGTGCAGCATTATGGGTTATGTGGTCCCATGACCGTTATCAGCAGGCAGTCGTGTTGGTGTGGTTTGGTACCCCATATGTGTAGGGTCAAGGTAGAATAGAATAGACCAGGGGGAAGGGACCCACAGAGACCATCAACTCCAACTGCCTGACTGCTTCAGTGCTATATCGACTGTTAAAGCAGTTCATTGAGGGCATTGTCCAGATGCCTCCTGAACACGGGACATCACCCACCTCTCTGGGATGTGTGTTGCAGCATCTGGCCACTCTCACATTGGAAGAATGCTTCCATATGTCAGATCTGAGCCTTCCCAGGCACGATGCTCTGTCCTTCCCACCCATGCTACCATTGGCTGCCAGGAGATTGGTACGTCCCTCTCCATTTTCCCTCCTTGGAGACTTGGCTTTATGGTCACAGAATCACAGAACTGTAGGGGTTGGAAGGGAACTCCAGAGCTCATGGAGTCCAACCCCCTGCCAAAGCAGTTCCTACAGCAGGTCACACAGGTCGGCATCCAGGCAGGTCTGGAACATCTCCAGAGCAGGAGACTCCACCACCTCCCTGGGCAGCCTGTTCCAGTGAACAGTGGGACCATAGGGACACGTTGGGACCCATAGACTCCCCCACCTCCCTGGGCAGCCTGTTCCAGTGCTCCTCACCTCACTGCACAGCCGTTCCTTCGCACATTGGTGCAGAACTTCCTATGCTGCAGTTTCCGGCCGTTTCCCCTCGTCTTGTCTCCACTCACCACTGAAAAGAGTCCAGCCTCGCCATTCTGCCCCCCACACCTCAGATATTTACAGACCTGGATCAGCTCCCCTCTCAGCCTTCTTTTCTCAAGGCTGAACAGACCCAGTTCCCTCAGCCTTTCCCCATAGCAGAGATGCTCCAGGCCCCTCACCATCTTGGTGGCCCTCTGCTGGACTCTTCCCAAGAGCTCCCTGTCTGTTTTGTACTGGGGAGCCCAGAACTGGACGCGGTGCTCCAGGTGAGGCCTCAGCAGGGCAGAGCAGAGGGGGAGGATCACCTCCCTCGACCTGCTGGCCACGCTCTTTTTAATGCACCCCAGGATGCCATTGGCCCTCTTGGCCACAAGGGCACACTGCTGGCTCATGGCAACCTGTCGTCCACCAGGACACCCAGGTCCCTCTGTGCAGAGCTCCTCTCCAGCAGCTCATCCCCCAACCTGTACTGGTGCATGCAATTATTCCTCCCCAGATGCAAGACTCTACACTTGCTTTTGTTAAACCTCATCTGGTTATGGTCAGTGCTTTGCTGTTCTCTGAACAAAGCAGACCTGAGCAACGTGCTTTCAGGCTAAGATACTGTGACCCTGGTGCAGGAATCCTCCCAAAATCACAGAATCACAGAACGGCCAGGGTTGGAAGGGACTTCAAGGATCATGGATCTCCAACCCCCCAACCACATGCAGGGCCACCAACCTCCACATTTAATACTGGACCAAAAGCTGGGGACCTTGTCTTTGTGAGCAGAGTCTCCACTCTGCTGGAGGTGGTATTTCCCAGACACTTCCATCTCTCCTGACCACGGTCCCCCCTCCCTCCTTAGGTGCTGCCCCTGCCTTCCAGCTCTGTGCAGTGAGCTCTGCCTCCCCCACCCCCCATCTGGATGCTGCCTTTCCCATTTTGCTCAGGCTCAGCTGAAGGCAGCGTACATCAAATGCTGAAGTGGGAAGTCTCAGTAATTATTCACTCTGCATGTCTTGAGTCAAGCACCGCCGCTGCGTTGCTTTACTTAAAGTCTCAATAGCTGCAAAGCCAAACGTCCCCTCTCCTGGATGCTTGGAAAACCCTGCTCTTCGAAAACCTTCATCCTTTCTTTGCTGAGAATACTCCTGTATTGAATTTTTAACCCAGAGCTTTCAGGTCTATCAGCAAAATGATGGTAATGTGAGCAGCATTCCAACTGAGGTTTCAAGAGAAGGAGCAAATAAATGGCCAGATTTCCTGCGCTTGTATTTAGCAAAGATAGCACTTATGCACTGCAGCTTTTTCTATTTATAATTTCTCATCTCTCCCTTGCAAAATCACTGTAGTAAATCTATCCTTTTTTTAGTCAAAACAGCATTGCTATTAGCTGTGCAGTTTTATCCTCTGGGTCTCTGGGGTAAGGCTGACAGAGATACTGCAAATAGCCCCGGACACCAAATGTTCCTCTCCACGTGGCCAGGCCTTCAGAGGTTTGGCTAATTGCAAACAGCCTTTATTCAACACCCTGCTATAAGAGCAGGGGGGGACCCATACCCATAATGTTCTGAAAGCTCCATCCTTCCCCATCTGAAGCTTTCTTCTTGAGCCACTTGCGTGCAACAGACAAATTTCCTTCCTCCCAGCCCGAAGGCTGTTGAAAACTGCAGCATTACCATCTCAGTGACTTTGGAGTATAGAACTGATTCACCCCTTCTCAGTTTCTGTAATGTTTTTTTTTCCTTCACCTCTTGACCCAGGGAAAAGAATATCCCTGCAGAAATTATTTATGGGTCATTATGGAGCGTCCTCCCATGGGGGCCTCCAAGGCCTGTCTGAATGCTGACCTGTGTGACCTATTGCAGGGTGCCTGCTTTTGCAGAGGGGTTGGACTCAGTGATCTCTTGAGATCCCTTCCAATCCCTGCAGTCCACGACTGTGTGATCATCCACGACCCCACTCAACGTATGGAAGTTAATGCAACCTGCACAGTTTCCAGAAAGCAGAGGTTCCCTTCCCACTCGGGATGTTCAGCGGTTCTATGAGTTCCCTCCTTCTGCCATTAGCATGGGACTTCTGCCTCCTCCGTCCCACCCTGGTAACTCCTGCCCCAGTGCTGAGCTCCCTGGAGATGCCAGAGGTCTCAGCCAGTCCCACCAGAGCTGCTCATGCCTTGTTGGACAAGAAGTTCTTTACCATGAGAGTGGTGAGGGGCTGGAACAGCTTCCCAGAGGGGCTGTGATGCCCCGTCCATCCCTGGTGGTGTTGGAGGCCAGGTTGGATGGGGCCCTGGGCAGCCTGGGCTGCTGTGCAATGCGGAGGTTGGTGGCCCTGCGTGTGGCTGCAGGGTTGGAGCTTCGTGATCCTTGATCCCTTCCAACCCAAACCATTCTGTGATCCTGTGGACAGTAATCAATACTGAGCAGAGCAGCAGCCAAGGAACAGAGGAATGAGAAGAAATGGTTGCATTCACAAAGGCACTTTCTTGGCTGTGTGCAGCAGTGCAAAGGAACTTCTGTAGGTTCTCTGGAGCTGCAGCCATTCTCCCTCCTGACCTCCCCAGCAAAGCACTCTCTTGTCTCCATCGTGTCCTGGAAGGGTTCAGGTCTGCTCTGCTCCCCCATTCAGGTTGTGGGCGGCATCTGCTGTGCTTCTTTCCCTTTTCTCTTATGGGCTTTGTGCACTTTGATTGCTTTAAGCGTCTGTTTGCATATGCACAGTTCCAGAAATTAGCAGAGTGTAACCACTAAAATCCTGGATTAGAGAGCGACCAGATGAGATTTAGCACTGGGGGTGGGCAGACTGTTGAAGGGGATTTCTGTAGGCTTTCCACTGCCTGCTCCAATTATAACCCCAGGTAGAGCAAGTCCTCGTGCACTGTGTGCTCCCTGGACATGGAGCCGTGTGTTGGTCCACACCTTGTTGCAGAGAGAAACAGAACAAGGGTGCTCTCTTTGACCTTGTTCTTCTCTTACCCTTTGCATAAATGCTGTGCCCAAATGTGTCCTTGCCTTCAGCCTAAGAGACAGCAATGATATTTCTGCCATTTGTTAAACTGCGAGCGTGTTCCTTTCCCTCTCCTCCAAGCTCTCATCCCACACCTGCGTTGAACTGGTGTGCAGTCTGCAGCCCATGGCCAGGCCTTCCATGTGCCAATGGGATGAGCTGCAAGCGCTGTGCCACTGGGGAGAGGAGGCTGGAGTGAAGGAGGGGTTGGTCTCCATCCTCATGGAACGGGGATGGGATGGGAGGGGATGGGCTCAGGGTGCAACAGGGAGGGTCGGGTTGGAATTGGGAACAACCTGTGCTGCAGAGAGCGGTCAGCACTGCACAGCTGCCCAGGGCAGCGAGGAGCCCCCATCCCTGGGGGTGTTCAGTGAGCACAGGGATGTGGCACTGGGGGACGTGGGCAGTGGGATGGGTTGGGGTTGGACTGGGGATCTCAGAGCTCTTTTCCAACCTCAGTGAGTCTATGGCTCTATGATTCTATGCACGGTGTTGGAGAAGATCAGCTGGTGTCCAACAGCAGGAGCTGACAGGGCTGTGCGCAGCTCCCTTATCAGCACGGGAATCTTCTGCAGAGCTGGAGGTGGGCAGCAGACGTGGCAGTGCCCACAGTTCTCACTTCTGCTTCTTGGGGTTCTGCAGAGTGTCCCCTGACGGCGGCGGCTCAGCTGGAGCTCAGCACTGAGATGATCAAAGCCCTGCGGAACGGGGGAGCGCATCTGGACTTCCGCACACGGGAGGGAATGACGGCGCTTCACAAAGCCGTGCGGTGCCGCAACCACGCGGCGCTGCTGGTGAGTCCAAATCCCAGTGCTGGTGAGTCCAAATCCCAGTGCTGGTGAGTCCCACATCCCAGTGCTGGTGAGTCCAAATCCCAGTGCTGGTGAGCCCAAATCCCAGTGCTGGTGAGCCCACATCCCAGTGCTGGTGAGCCCAAATCCCAGTGCTGGTGAGTCCACATCCCAGTGCTGGTGAGTCCCACATCCCAGAGTTGGTAATTCCCAGTTCTCAAGATCTCAGTGCTGGCTCCTTCTAGCACCCAGACCTCACATCGCTGCCTGCTCCATAGCTGTACGCCCACAGCATCTCTCCCATGCCGCTGCCATGGAGCACAGTGTGTGACAAAGATTTGCCACTGATGGCTCGAGCCTGGGGAGAGAAGGCTGAGCAGCACCGTGCTGTGACAGCAGCACTGGCCCCTCGTGGGTTGGTTATCCCCATGCGTGGAGCTGCGAGTGAGATGGGTGCATCTCCATCCCTGGAGGTGTTCGAGGATGGTGGGATGTGGATAGTGGGCATAGTGTGGATGGATTGGGGTTGGACCTGATTGGTCTTTTGCAAAGTTAACGGTTCTATGATTCTCCTGCAGACACTGCTGGATCTGGGGGCCTCCCCAGACTACAAGGACAGCCGGGGGCTGACACCACTGTACCACAGTGCCATGGTGGGTGGGGATCCCTACTGCTGTGAGCTGCTGCTGCACGACTACGCTCGGCTGGGCTGCGTGGATGAGAATGGCTGGCAGGAGATCCACCAGGTGAGGTGGATATGGGTGAGCTCTGCTGGGCCCGGCCCTCGGGTGCTGCAGGACACAGGGTTCTGATGGGTGCTGGGGGCTGCATGGCCAGCAGGGGCTGCGTTTCTGCTCAGGGGTTTGCAGGTGGGGTTCAGCTCTGTCCCACTGCAGGCCAAGCAGTTGGGCTGCCTCAGCTGCTACAGGGCAGCACTTTGGGATCTTGGGTCGACACCTGAGGAGCCTTGGGTACAAAACCAGAGTTCTACCTGTCCCTGTTTGGCACATTAGTAAGTGGATGTGGCAGAGGAATCACAGAACCATAGAATCACCAAGTCTGGAAAAGACCTCCAAGATCATCCAGTCCACACACCAGCATCTCACCAGTATTTCCCACTATACCACATCCTTCAGCACAACATCTGAACATTTCTTGAACACTTCCACGGGCAGCGGCTCCACCACCTCCCTGTGCAGCCCATTCCAGCACCTGGCCTCTCTTTTGGAGTAGAAATTTTTTGGATGCCCCATCCCTGGAGGCATTGGAGGCCAGGCTGGATGTGGCTCTGGGCAGCCTGGGCTGCTGGTTGGCGACCTGCACACAGCAGGGGCTTGGAACTGATGAGCACTGTGGGTCTTTGCAACCCAGGCCATTCTATGATTCTAAAGTCCAACCTGAATCTAGAAGAGGGGGAAGGATTCTATGAGGTTTTCCTGCTGCCCCTTCATTCTGTTTCTCAGTTGCTTTTCCCCCCTTCTGCAGGCTTGTCGCTATGGCCACGTTCAGCACCTGGAGCATCTTCTCTTCTACGGCGCCGACATGACTGCGCAGAACGCCTCAGGAAACACCGCTCTTCACATCTGTGCTCTCTATAACCAGGTACTCGGTGTGATTTGGGGCACGAGGACACAGAAAGCACAGGCAAGGAAGCTGCCCGAGGGCACAGTGTTGGACTGAGGCACCTCTAAGGGCTGCTGCAGCCCTAAGATCTAAGAAAGTCCTTCTGGGTTCTCCCACCGTCTGCCCAGGGCAAGGTGCTGCTGGTAGCACCGGTCTGATTTTGGATTTCTCAAGATCCATGGTTCATTCCAAGCTGTTTTTGCTCATTTACCACCTGAGCTGCTCCATAGTTGTTCCTGTGGTTCCTATTCCTTCACACCACACGCAGCAAACCCCCCATTGCTGGTGGGGAGGGAGCAGTTTGCCTGCCTGGAGGGCACTCATTTGGGTGCCTTCATTTCACATTGAGGAGAGCACCTGCCTCACGTGGGGCTTTTGGGGCAGCTGTCCTGGCACAAAAGCACAGAACATCTTATTACCAATCTGAATTTTAAAGAAGATTTCTCCTGTGATGCAGGGCATCATTTCTGTTTTGTTTTCTGTGTGGCCACTGACCTCAGTTCTAGAGGAATCGGGGGGGGTTGTGGAAGCTTTTCCTGACACCCACTGGCCTCTTTCCCAAATGTAGAGGTCAGTATCCAAGTGCTTCTCCTGTGGGATTTGTTCCTTCCTAGAGGTTTGATAGAGGTTTGATTTCCTACAGGTTGTGTGCATGGGTTTCGCTGTAAAGGGATTTATGTTTCTGAGGTGTCCAGTTTTAAGAATTGAATGCTGTTGTGATTAAAAATGTGGAATGGTGTATGGAAATTGATTTGTGGCTTTTTTAGGGGATGGATGTGCTCTGCTTGCTTGGGACTCTCCTACATGGGTGCCTGCCCCCTGGGGGGCCCATAGATGGGAATTAACAGCGTAGAAACACAGAGCATTGAAAACAAAAGCAAGAAATAGCTGTAGGAAGTAGCAGTACCTGGGAACGTGTGGTGGTCACTGTGCCTCACAGCTGTGCTCCTGGGCTGGATTCTGGGCATTACTGCTGTAGTTGGCACACAGAGAGAGGCTCAGTCAGCTCAGTGCTGGGGGTGACCAATTCCTGGGGGCTCAGCATCCTTATGCATCCCTTGCTCTCACCAAAGGAAGCTTTCCGAGCTCGATGAAACAAGGTGGTTTGCCTCTTTGTTGTCCCCTTTTGTTGTCTACAATGCTGATCGATGTCTCCTTTCCTCCTTTCCAGGAGAGCTGTGCTCGGGTTCTCCTCTTCCGTGGTGCAAGCAAAGAGATCCGCAACTACAACAGCCAGACAGCCTTCCAGGTGAGGCAGCGAGCGCCAGCCGTAGAACCATAGAATTGCTCAGGTTGGAAAAGACCTTAAAGATCATCAAGTCCAACCACAACCTGACCGTACCACCCTAACACACAGCCCTGTGGGGCCCCAGGAAGTGCTGGGGTGGCCTCTGGGACGATCCTGTGTGTGAGCTGAAGCTTCCAGAACAAATGTGTGCATTCAGGATGCCTGTTCTGGCCATGGCCTGCTTGGTGAGCAAAGTGTTGTCTGTGGGAAGGGCTGTGAGGCTGCTGTTGTGGTGGGAGATTTGAAGGAGCTTTGCTTGTGTACCCCGTGCGTAACGGAGGTGGAAAGGAGTTACTGCTGTCTGTGGAAGTGTTGCAGTGTTAGAGAGGGAGCAAAATCCTCAGGAACAAAGGACAGTTTTGCTGCATATAAACTGGCTGTGAATAAACTGAGAACAGAAGTTAGAAGGCCTGTTCCAGCCCCTCACCACTCTCATAGTAAAAACTTCCCCCTGACATCCAGCTTCAATCTTCCCTCCTTCAACTTCAAACCATTTCCCCTCGTCCTGCTGCCATCTCCCCTTTCCAGGAGTTGACTCCCCTCCTGTCTGTAGGCTCCCTTCAGCTCCTGCAGCTGCACTCAGCTCACCCCCAGCTTCTCTTCTCCATGCTGCACAGCCCAGCTCCCTCAGCCTGGCTTTGCAGGGCGGTGCTGCAGCCCCCTGCTCATCTTTGTGGCTGCTCTGCACCCTCTCCAACAGCTCCCTGTCTGTCTTGAATGAAGCATGTTTTAATACAAACTCAACAAGCAGTCCTGAAACAAAAACGCACAACTTCAGTGTGCACTTTCCACAGTCATATGTAGAAATTACACACAGCTGTTGGACACGCTGGTATTAGGATCAGTTCTTGAGAGCAGCCCTGCAGAGCAGGACCTGGGGGTCCTGGCGGATGAAAAACAGACCATGAGCCAGCATTGTGTGATTACAGCTCAGAAAGCAAATGGGATCCTGGGCTCCATCAGCAGAGGGGTGGCAGCAGGGACAGGGAGGTGATTGTCCCCCTCTGCTTTGCCCTCGTGAGGCCCCATCTGCAGCACTGCGCCCAGGGCTGGGGGTCCAAATACAGGAAGGCTTAAATTCTTAGGAGGAATTTCTGTATGAAGACTGAGGCCGTGTTGCTTGCGTTCTACTACGTGTTGGCTTGAATGCTGGGAGCAGAAAGCTCCTGGAAGGTCAATGGAGTGCTGCATGCAGCCTGGGCTCGTGCAGATGGAGGCAGTGGGGCTGCAGCTCTTTGAGGAGCTTTGCTTCTGGGAACTGATCGCTCATCTACTTCATGTGAAAATATTTATTTTCAGGGAAGGACTTATTCCAGGAAACCGTTTCCTCCTTGTTGAAGGAGTTGAACTTTTGCCCTTTCTCCACCTCTTGATTCCAACCTTTTCGCTTTGGGCATTTGCAAGACACGGAGGTGGTGGGTGGAGAGAGCAAATGGCTGCAGCTCTGATTTGCGCACGTCCTGCAGGGCCCTGAGAGCCCTAATGAGGGAGAAGCAGCGTTTGCCTTTCTTTTTGAAGTAGTGTGACTAATTGCAAGTTTGCCTTCCACAGAATGAAAACTGTGCTTGGTAACCCAATCGGTTTGTTTACCGAGACAAGTATAACCTGATCCGAACCCGAATTTGATACCGCGCTCCCATCAGCTCCCAGCTTTCAAAGAGAAGCTCTCTGCCTCTGCTTACATTGCTTGCTCAAGATTGCAGCATCTTGTTAAGTCGCTGCCCGCTGCAAAGTCTGGCACTTTCTCATGCATCGTCTTTGTGTAGCCATGGTAATGGGGTGCTACCTCTCCCTGGCTGAATTTCAGCACAGCGGAGGAAACCAAGCCAGCGTGAGGCAGGGTGTGCTGGTCAGAGCAGCTCTGTGGCTGCTGGGAGCTCACATAAAGACCTCTGCTTCTGCAGAGCTGCTTAGTCCATTTGCTTCACATACCTCATGTTAATTTCCTTGTTGCCATTAATCAGATAGCTCGGTGTCAGCGGCCTGAGATGACTCGAGATGGCACCGAGTAATTTAGAGGATTTGGAAGATGTAATCTCTCCATTTATCTTCCGTGAGGCCAATGGGCATCCTCCATGCTGGGGTGGTGGGGCAGGAGAGCAGGGAGCACTGCCCAATCTGTGTGGCAGCTGTGGGCTTCGGAGGGGGGTGTGGAGGCTGCGGGTGAGGGCTGAGCATCACCTCCTGGCACCCTGCAACTTGTTGTTGTCCTGGGCTGGAGCTGATACCTCCATCCCTGGGAGTGGTGATCTCCAACGTCCTTATCAGCGAGGCAGACAGTGGGGTTGGATGTACCCTTGGCAAGGTGGCTGCTGGAAAGGATCCATCCAGAGGGACCTGGACAGGCTCAGAAAGTGGTCCCATGAGAGCCTGATGAGGATTGCCACAGGGCAAAGCACGGGTGTTGTGTTGGGGCAGTCCCAGCTATGAGCGCAGAGTGGAAGAACTCCTTGAGAGCAGCTCTGCCAACAAGGACTTTGGGGTGTGCACCTGGCTGCCCCATCCCTGGATGTGCCGTGGCCATGGATGAGCCCTGCACAGGCTGAGCTGGGGGGCACCCAGCCTGCAGCAGGGATTGGAGCTCAGTGGTCTCTCCCCTGTTGGGTTCAGACCCTACAGGATGTGGGCTGGACAAAGCAATGCACTGTCGGTGTGGCTGTGAATGACCCCTTCGTGACCACTCTGATGTGAGCCACCCAACAATTTTTTTCCCTATCCAGCTGTCCATGCATCCATACTGTGATGCCCGAGTTGCACAGACAGAGATGAGCCAAGAGAAGGGGTTGTCTGTCTGCTCCACGTCCTTGGAACTACCTGCTGGTTTTGTACCAGAGCTTGGGCTTGTTTTCCTTTCCCTCCCTGGTTTCCAGGTGTCTCAAGAGCTCACTGATGTATTTCCTTTCTCAGGACCTGGTGCTCGGTTGGGGTTAAGGTGTCACATACCAGCAATCTTTCTGCTTTAAACTTCTGGGTTATTTTTTTCACCTTTCATTTAATAAAAGTAGCTTTTCCCATTGCCCTCAAACCTGTTTCAAAAGTAGGAGAAGTTCATGTCTTTGTGGAGGGCTTACTTTGCACTGCATTTGTTGGTGATCCATTGGAGATGCCAGCAGGATGCTCCATGCAAGGAAACAATTTCTGGTTTGGTAACAGCGCTGCCTTCCAGTTTTCTTTCCCAAACCTTACAACTCTAAGGTGGAGCGTGTGGTCTCAATGGCAGTGTGGGTCTTTCTTATCTGGAGAGTTTTCGAGGTTGCTTCTGCTGTTCCTGTCATGTTTCTAGGTGATCTGCTGACCAACCATCTCTCCATAACAGCCATGACAAACCGAGCTGCAGGGAAGCGCCGTCAGTGTCCGAGTGACATCAGAAGCACTTGCTGAGTATCTTCACTTCTGATCTTTCTCATGTGGATACCTGGAACTCAGCCCCTGCCTTTTCCACGGGCTGCGTTACTGCATCACCTCAGAGCAGTTTGCAGCTGGTGCATGAAGCCCTCAGAGCAGGACTGCAGCTGCCTCAGTGTCCCCCCCATAGCACAGGTGGGCACATGGGCTGGGGGATTAGCTTCAGTTCCTCTATCAGCCTTGCCCATGTGCTGCTTACCATCATCTGGTCTATTCTGGAGCCATCTGGAGCACTGACCTCCTCCTCCTCCTCCTCCCAGGGTCTGGAATGTGGCGCTGTGCATGCTGTGCCTTTGTATTCTGGCTCAGAAGGAGAAGTACGGTGTGATGGAGACGAGCTTGAGCTCCCCTGGTAGTCTAAAAGGAGACAAACCCCACTGTCAACGTGAGGGTCTTTCTGGATCACATCTGTGTGTTGTCAAGGACCGGTCATCATTCTGCACGTACTTTTCCAGCCCTCCATCACCAGCAGTGATGAAGATCCCTGTCTGCCCCTGTGCCTTGCCCTCTGGCGGAGGCTCCTTACCTTTCTGCCCCTAAGCCTCTTTGCTTGGCCAAATGATGGCCTTTCCCTCATCTCCTCCCACCACCCTGTTGCCCACACGGGGGGCTGACCCATCAGATGGTCCAGCACTGTTGTGCCCACGTGCTGCCCGTGATTCCAAGGTAAGAGGGTTTGCCTGTAGATTGCATCTATGGGGCACCCAGTTGCCTTCACGTGACTTCCACTCTGAGTTGGATGCTGGAAAGCTGCTAAAACTGTGTGAGCTCGCTGTACCAATGCAGCTTTTGCAGCTGATGAACGTGTTAATGAGAACCCACCCGAAAGTGAACTCTGCACTGGAAGTTTTTGTTATCATCAGGATGCTGAGTTCCCTAACAGTCATCAAGTGTCAACTTCTGCACAGATTTTTGTTCTCGTGCTACTCACGGTCGGATTGCTTCATGTGCAGGATTTTCACACACCGAGTATAAAAATACCATGAGCAGTTGCTTCAAACTTCCTCTCATTTCACTGAAATGTGACAATCAGAGCTGCTTCTTATCTGTCAGAAAGTTGTCTGTCCTTTCGATAGCTGCACTTTTGTATTTGTTTTCTTCTTCCCTTTCCCCAGGCTGAATTCTTCTAAGCAGGATTTTCTGGGGGTAGGTAGCTGTTACAGGGACTCACAGTTCCTTGCTATGAGCAGCACAGGCTTCATTGATGCTGAACTCCTTTGGCTGTGCTGTGCTCCATCCCCTGTGCTGTCACCAAAGCTGTCAGAGCTGACCTTGGTCACGGAGTTGAGGCACGAGACAGAGGTTTTAACTCCACTGTCAGCATTTCGGATAAATGTTTGGCTTGATGGTAGGAAACTGTTGCCTGAATTGAGGGTATGGGTGCAGAGATCACATCCCTGCAGGGCAGAGGTGCGCTCAGTGTTGCCTGAGTTGTGATGTTTCCATGCAGGGGATGTGCTGGGCAGCACAGGGGCTTGGCAGCAGCTTCTCATTGCTTCCATTGGTGGGCAGCCATGGTCTGTCTCATCTGGCTGTGGTGCTGTTGCACAGCAGAG